GAGCATGCTCACAGATGAGAACAAAACAGCGTTGGATGAAGTGGATTAAAGCCCTGCACGGGTCTCAAATATAGGCCCTAGCCCGTCTTTTTTCCCCTTTTCCCAAAAAAAGTTATACTACTGTTTCAGCTAATAAAATAGTTCAGTTTTGTATGTAGTGGAAAAGTGATTATATTTCGTTTCGTTTTTTTATAAAGTAAATTTAGAGAAACATTGGGAGTATTTTTTTGTTCGTTAAATGTAAGGTTTTTTTTTTTTTAAGTAAAGGCCAGCGGCAGACAGTGTGTTGATCATAGTCTATAGCCTATGTTTGATCAATTTAGCCTTCTCAAATCATCAGGACTTGCCTAAAATAAATATACAAAACAGTTCAAGTATATCACAATGTTAGTTTAAATGTTTAACCTATATAAATGTGCGCTATTAGACGCTTATCCAATCGTTTGTGCGGAGAGTGGAAGCTGAAGCGCGCTCTGCAGCACATGGAGGCGCCAGCGCCATCACTTGCATTTTTTTCTAACAGTGGAAACAACTTAAAATACGCAGTCATTTTTGCTCATAAAAGGTAAGAGTAATACATCATTCTAAACTGTAAAGGGTCTAGTTTTATTTGTGTGCACTCACAATATCAACAAAACGTTGTGCTTTTATAAAATAAAAAAAACAAACGCTTTCTGCCGTCTCGGTCTTGAGCAGGAGCGCTTCACAATGATGAACCTAAACTCAGACATGATCAAAATATATAGAAAGCTTTAAATTACTATTTTAAAACAAAATAATTAAAATCGAAAATAGACTCCTAATAAAATAAACTCTTTCATTACGTAATCTCTGCATTTCTCTCTAAAGGCACATCCAATTAGGAGATGGCAAGTCATTTTTTCATCACAACGGCATGGGTTCAGTCGACAGAAATACAGGACACAAAGGCCTATAATAACTGCTGAAATGTTTGCGGGGCAAATCTCAGATCAGTCTGAGCGCTCATGGTACTCACAGTGCGTTCAGCCGTACACCTGCAGGCGCCGCTGACTTGGACGGTTGTCGTGGTAATAAACACCGTAAACAGCAAACGTTCACGTGTCCGCGCTTAATGCGCATATCCTATATGAAAAGCATTTTAGGGGGCCCTTGGCTTTTGGGGGCCCAAGGCGGTCGCCTACCTTTGCCTAATGGGTAAGTCTGCCCCTGCGTTTATGCAACCGGCCCCAGGTTAGTTTTCCAGCATAAGTTGCCACAGTGACTAAGATTGATCTAGACCTATGTTAAATTTGCTTTATGGAACCAAATCATTTGACAATGAGTCAGACTAACTGAAATAAGCCTGGCTTATTTGGTTAACTTGTTTTATGAAACAGGCCTCGAGGAATTAAAAGGGATCATATTTTATCAATTACATCATATTGCATCGAATTGCATTGTGTTGAATCGAATCGAAATCGGATCGCACTGCATCGTAACAGGGGTGAATCGTATCGTATCGCATCGCATCGGTAGCTGCTTCATATGTATCTTTAATGTATCATATCGTTGGCTATGCATCAAGATGTGTATCGTATCAGTCATGAGATGCACATCCCTAATGGGGGGACTACACAGTCTCAGAAAAATGGTTGCAGGAATCTCATTTTTCATGGAATCTTCTTCAGATTTGAAATAGAAACTCATAAGACATGTGACGTTCAACCCATTACTTTTCCGGATTGCTTCAGGACTGATTTCATGTATTTTTATATGAAATAAAAAAATTATTCATTTTGGTAATTTTTTTTTCAAGGCACTTCAGTGTCTATAACTTTTTATCTTTTATTATAAACTCTGGATGATGGATATTAAAGCCCAAAGGGTCTTCTTTCCAAAGACACCAACATTGTGTGTGTGTAAGTTAGGTAGGTCATTTTCAGCTGTGAGTCCCAAAATGGGGGGGGGGGGACGCAGGTTAACAGGTTAAGTATTTACATGCTCATGTTTTTTTCCTGTTGAAAGGATTATTTCAGGTCTACACCATCACTTTAAATCAAATCAAAATGTTCAGTGGAGCTCAGTTGTATCGATTGATGTGTTTTACATACAGGCTTTTTCACTATAATTTCGATTGAGCCATTAATCTGATTATAGACAGATTATATGTGTGCATGTGCATTGATTGGACTGAAATCTGTTCTGAAATCTACTCCTTTATGTAGTACATTTTATTCTACTAAGTTTTCAGTTGTATTACAGATAGAAAGTTGTTGTCTGGATTTGTGTGATGTGTTGTGAGTGCTCAAAAGTGTTAATAGATTGATGCTTTTGCTTCATTTATTTCTTTTTATTCTTAATTAAGACAAATGTAGCAGTAAAACTACAATGCTAAAACATTCTAACATTTGTTGGCTCATATTTAGGCGTACATATCTGCCAACTAGGTGAATAAATACACAATGAATAGATGTAACTATTTTTTTTTTAATTACTATACATTGTCAATGTAATAATTCAGATATCTGTAACTTAGAATGATTTGCATTAATTTTAGATAAATTTTACTACAAAGAAGAACAATCAAGAGTAGTGTTCACTTCACTACGTTTCGGTACAGTCCTGTTCTTCTGGAAGACTTTCCCGTTGGGTTGCGTCCTCCATGTCAGTGTGACGTCTTCATCGCTCAGCGTCTGCTTTAACTAAACACAGAAACAGCCTTCAGCTACTCAGTACGTTCCACAATTAATCTTAGTCAGATGAGTATCATAAAATCCACCTTGTTTAAGATGAGCTCCTTCAATCTTTCCTCATTAGCATTCTCAGCAGCTTTCACCTGCACTCGGATCACCTGCCTGTTCCTCTTGACTGTGGGGAAAGCACATATTATGTATTTTACGTAGTTTTACTATATCTTTCTTTATGAGCATGTAATTCAGGGATTCCCAAACTTTTTGTCAGCCAAATCCAAAAATCAGAACCATTTGCTATGTGGTATGTGATTTTTGCTAAACATTTTTGTTGTTGTTGTTAAATTATACACATTTTTTATTTTTTTTAGTCAATTAGACATGCTTTTTGACTACCAAAATTAAATTTAACTATTAAAATTTAATTTGGAAAAATTTGAATGGAGATAGAATAAAATAAAGTAAAATTGGAATAAAATATAATGGAATTTTTGAAAAAAAAATCAAACTGATTTCATAGGGCCCTACAACACCTCAACCTCAACCTCAAAATTACCTCACATTTTCCTATTCAGTTTTGTCAACAAATGATGTACACAAGAGTTCAGGCCAGACCTACCAGTGTTGCAGTAGAAGTAATACATATTTGTGCAATATCTGTCATCAAATACACGATAATAATTATCTGCACCAGCACAGTCTTCATTCCACTTAGTAAATGTCTGAGTAGTGAGTTTGGATGAGGAAGTGATATTGGTCTGATCTGACCACTTCCAAGTCTCTCTGTACAATCCGATCCAGACCGGAACCATCCAGACATTTAGCAACTTCATAATCTGGTCATTGTCCTCTTGACTCCTAATGGTAGCCAGGTCTGTATAATGATGTCTGCAGTACTCCTGAGCCTCAGTCCATGTCTTTTGGGTCTTGATCAAAACCATTTTCTCTGTTGCGTTTGTACTTCCTGTGAAAATTCAAAAATAGAGTCAAGACGTTAAAGCCAAACTAATTTTGTGTGAGCCTGTTAAACCTGCTTGAAGAGGAAACTTTTAAAACATACTTGAATAATCTTTGATTTACAACTTCAAAAATATATTTTTTACAGCGCAGATTTGAAGTGACATGAGAGTCAGTAATTTTCATTGAATTATTGGGTGAACTATCCCTTTAATTCTTTATTCTGAGAATCATTCCTTTCAGCATTTTCTGTACCTAAATAAAGTGATTTTTGTGTACTGAATGCTTGTGAAATTTATAATTGAAGTTATAGTTTAAGTTTATGACAGGGTTATTATAGTTAACTAAAACTAAATAAGAAAAATCATTACTTGAAATAAAATGTTAACTGAAATAAAATATAAAAAACTTTAATTTATTTTACTTAATCTAACATTCAAGGCAACGTTAATCATTTTAATTTAGTTTATCTTGATGTACTAAAACTACAGAGCCCCTAAAGGGACCTTTGCAAAAATAAAAAATACACAGGCTATCGCGTGCTAACAAGAAATTTTTGCGTGTGCACGCGGTTTCATTTTCCAGTGTAAGTATTATACATTAGCATTATTTGACTGTCAAATGTCGAGAGTGCACTGTTGTAGCACGAAAGTGCATTAATATGATACGTGAGCGTGAATCTCTCTGCTCGCACAAGGATTTCATTTGCTCTCGCACAAAACCAGATGCACACTCTCAGATATACGCTGCTATCGCTCACTTAAAACATGTCAGTTGCAATCATATACTTTTTGTGTTTGTTTGTTTAGATAAATCGCTCAGAGGGATTTGACCAACCAGTTAGACAGACTATAGGTTATTTATTTGTATAAATCATCCAGGCACCCCAATCCCAGCCATTTCTAATATACATTTGATTAATATTGCTATTAAATTGTAAATAATTGCAGATCCATCTATGATTGTCAAAATAATTCCAGGTGCAGTTCCCTCTCGGCCAATTAGATTTCACGTAGCATTTTCATCGGTCAGTCGTGGAAATCTGATTGGTTGATAACTTTTGACAACGTCCAGGTGCAAAAATAATTAATTTCTAGCACAACGGACAGATTTGCGAACGCACAGGATGCAGTTTGAACAGAAAATATAAAAACAAACAAGCTATAATAGCATCTCAGTTACATAAAAATAACATTGGTATATGACACACATTTTTACTTCTCCAACCCCAATGTCATTATATTGGTGTCTGTATCCATACACTGAATTAATGAGCACCAATAAAGAGTGATTATACGTGTTTCTCACCGTTGTAACAAATGAAATATCTTAAGTCTTTGCAGTAGAAATCATGCCAGGTTCCATCAAAATAGATGGCGGCACACTCCTGTCCGTAACCGTA